TCAATATTAAGTATCCTTCTTGATCCCCTGGGAATCTTCATCTTGAATTCTGTTTTGTCTGGTGGTTATATTGCTTTAAAATCATTGTGTTAGTACTTTGGCAGGTAATTTTTAGTATCTCTTTACTTTCAACAATTCTACATTATTTTTTTTCAGATTTGATTCTGGTAAATAAGAATAGCTGGATTTTCTTTTTTACCAACTTGATAGTCTCTGTCTTTTATAGGTCTGATAAAACTGCTCACATTTGTCATAAATATGAATAGGTTTTGATTTATTCTTACCATAGTCTTTTCTGTTTTTTTATTTGCTAAAATTTTTTTAAACATTTTTTTTAAAGATTTATTCACCCATTCTAGAGAGAGAGGGAGATAGAGTGTGTACATATGTGTGCATGAGTGGGGGGCCAGGCAGAGGGAGAGGGAGAATTCTCAAGCAGACTCTGGGCTGAGCACCAAGCCTGGTGTGGGGCTTGATCCCAGGACCCCAAGACCATGACCTGAGTTGAAACCAAGAGCTGGTCACTTAACTGACTGAGCCACCTGGGCACTCTGCTAAAAAAAAAAAAAATTAAGGCTTTCTTGTCTCTTTTGGTTAGATTTTGTTTTGCAACATTTCCCCTCTTCTGTTTTGATAGTTGTACATTCATCTGTTCTTTTTTGTTCAGCTTGTGCACATTTTTAGCTCATATAAGAAACTTACATTTTCTTTTTCAAAAGTCTAGAGTCAAATACATCTATGTTCTACCCTTCATTTCAATAATACAAGAAATTTAACATGCATTTATTCCCTTTTACACTCTCCTTTTCCCCCCAACTAACTCTCATGTTGACATTTTATAGAGTTTTATTTCCAGATGGTTTAACACACACACTGATTTCAGTTCAGCAATGTTGTTTCAAATGATTTCTTTGTTGCTGTGTTTGTTACTCATTACTCTTTCCCAGATTTATTTTTCTTCTTGCTGAAATAATATAACAATTCTTTCAAAGAATGTGGATGGTAAACTTTCTGAGGTCCTATATGTTTGAAAATGTCCTTAATTCATGAAAGAAGCTGAATGGCTGAATTTATTCCACTGACTCTAGCAAGATCTGGTCTTCACCTCTTCCTCCTCACCACTCCTACTACATCCAAACTGAAAAAGAGCTGCTAAAGCTTTAGCTCCACTCTTGCAGGCCCCATATCCTGTCCCCTGACTAATGCAGCTTAAGTTCCCCATATCTTCTGAGAATCAGAACAGTGACTAATTCTCAGAATATAGCAAAACTTTGACTTTCACCAATTTAACATAGCAATTCCTTAGGCTGTCTGCTCTCCAGTAACATAGCTATCTTGGGTTGTTCTATTGTGATGATTTTAATAAAGGCTTAAGTTAACAGGATTTGGTTGGTTTTTCTCCTTTCACAAATTCATTCTCATTGTTAAAGGATAGTTTGACTAGATAATTTTTTTCCTTAAGAATTTTTAGATTTTGTTCCCTTACCTTATAGCACTCAGGGTTGCTGATGAGAAGTCTGTGTTCTGCAACAGTCACTTCCCTATTCTAGGATTGGCACCTTTTTCTGAAGCCTCCATGACTCCTTGGGGCGATGGCTTACCACTGTGGCTCTCTGTGTGTTTTCTTTCTTAAGGATCTGGATAACTTTTGGTCCACCAAAAGTCCTTACTCTGTTTTTCACAAATCCCAATGTCCTTATTAATTTCTTTTAAAATATAACTTAAGAAATAATAATGACTTGGTGTTAAAACAAGGAGATTTCAAAAAAACAAAAAAAACAGAACGAAAAAACAGATGTCAGCATGTGCTCATATTAATATGTTATTTTTGTTTGTGTGTTTGGATGGGTCCATATGAAACTATATTCCAAGGGAATGGAATGGGGTGTCCAGAGGAAGACTGATTTTTACTTTATAATTTTCTCTATTTGAATTTCAGCATATTAGTCTTGTTTTTGGATTCAAAATAATGTCATACATAATCCATTGGACATCTTCCTTTTCTTTTTTTTTTAAGATTTTATTTATTTATTTGAGAGAGAGAGCAGAACAAGAGAGAGAGCAAGAATGGAGGATGGGGGGCAAAGGGAGAGGGAGAAGCAGGCTCCTTGCTGAGCAGGGAGCCCGACACAGGCTCCATCCCAGGGCCGTGAGATCATGACCTGAGCTGAAGATAGACGCTTAACCAACTGAGCCACCCAGGCGCCCCAGACATCTTTTCTACTTCCAAATGCACCCATCAGCTTTTTCCACCTGCTCTGGTGCCCTGTCTATGCTGCTCAATGGTGTGGACAGCATCGAGGGCCCCAAGCCCTCTGTTTCCGGTTGGGTTTGCCCAGCAGGAGGTCAGTAAGATTGGGATATTTATTCCCTGGCCTTTCCTAGCACTACCCCCCTCCACCCCCCAGATATCTGACTACCCTGTGTTGATTCTGTCCTCCTACTGAAGACAACACCTGCCAGGTGGTCCTCTGCACACAGAGACCCTCATGTCCTCATCTTGGTCCTTCAGGCCTGGGGCAGCAGTGGCTCCCAGGGGTGCCAGGCTGGAGACCCACATCCCATTGCTGGCTTCTCTACAACTTGCCTACATCTTTGTAATTAGTCCCTTTATTCACTTCTCCTCAGATTACTTAGCTGGAGTGTCATTTGTTTCTGCCCTCGTCCCGGACCCAAACAAAGCCAAAAGAGAAAACAGAGAAAAAGCCAAAGCAATATAAAGTAGTTGGGTAACTATTTAGATTCATCTTCTTGCTTTTTCAGAACAGAATAAAATACTTAAGAAAGAATAAAGGTGAAGAAAGCTTATTTTTGTTAAAGGGACCATGCTACAGAGGGAGAGTAATAGTAACGTTTTCATGAGCACGCACGTAGCACAGGAGTTCCTCTCCCTTTCCTTATTGATGCTGTTGCTGGGTTTTTGGGCCTGGAGGGCAAGCAGGCATGAATGCAGTCCCCCTGATACAGGACTTTATGCAGCACTCTGGGCTCATGCTGCAGAGATTTATAGAATCTCAGAGACAGTAGGGGCCACAGGGACTGTCTAGTGAGCAATGCACAGCACAGAGCATAGCCGTTTGTGATACAACCCTAGATTTAATTTGGGTAGTGGCTATATAAAAACCACCCCATGCTGCTGCTTCTTCCGTGCACCTATTAAAAAATATTTCCGTTGCTAAAAAACAGTGCTAATTTTCTCACTGGCATTTGGGAGAGTAGCTAGCAATGGCAACAGGTAACATTCACTGAATATTTGCTGTGTGCCAGAGACCGAGCTCCAAGCTTTACAGGTATCCTGTTCCGCAACCCTCAGCTAAGCTCTGTAGTGGATACTGTCCAGTATGCATGGTAGTGCATAGTATTAATCCAGTTTTAGGGATGAGGATAATAAGGCAGAAAGAAGTTAAAGGACTTGCCCTTCATCACACGGCCTCAAGTGATGGAGTCAGGATTCAAACCCATGCAGCTGGACTCTGAACCCCACACTCATCCATTACATTGTTTCTTCTTGTTATGACATCTATGCAGAAATATATATGTATATATACTGCAGGAATATTGCTTTGTGCCTAACAATATACCATATATGCACACGTCACGTCACTAAACACGTAATGCCATTTTAAATGATGGCAAAATATTCAATTGTATCAGTATGCCAGTTTGCTTAATCAATCTCATTGTTAGATATTAATTTGTTCTGCTATTTCCCCTTATAATCACTTTCTAATACTGACTCCTCTCACATTCTCACATTAGAACCTCTGACCCTGATTTATGAATTTATATAATTTATAAATTGCAATTATTATTCTTAAATAGAGTATTAAACATTACTATTAGAGAGTGGGGCTCTAGATGACTCTGACCTCCATTTTGCTTATCATTTATATTTTGAAATATTTCAATGTATTGTGTAATAAGGAAATGAGATTGTTAGAGGTTTTTTTCTTTAAAGTTTATTTATTTAAGTAATCTCTACACCCAACGTGGGGCTCAACCTCACAACCCCAAGACCAAGAGTCGCTTACTCTTCCAACTGAGCCAGCCAGGCAGCCTTGTTAGAGTTTTTTTAAAAAGAAAATTTTTATTTAAAAATATAAAGTTTAAAATATGCTTTAGCTCTTCTGTCCCACAATGAGTTTAACCATTGATCAACAATATTGATCAAACTATTGATCAACAATAGTCACCAATCCAGGCTAAGGTCATGGAGTTTTAGTCTGTCTTCAAGTGGTCTTTATACCACTTGTCAATCTTCCACACCCTCTATGTAATCCAAAAACAGTTCCAAGGACACTTACCAATCCTTCCCCTTAAACAAATACACGACAGCCTCCCCTTGATTGTTCTGTATTTATTCCTGATGCACATGCTTCAGCTGGAGAGTGTAATGGGTGTTAGCAATTCACAGGCCTCCTTAGAAATGCTAGAAAAGTGCTCTTGTCTTCATTATGGGGGTGATGCCCTATTATCAATCAACCCCCATCTTTCTGCATCATCTTTTGCAATTTGGTGTCTTAATTCTAGTGTGAATAACACACTGGTACATTTATACCTGGGCTCTAAGCAGGGCTTAAATGGTAGTGTGCTGATGTTTTATCCAACAAGGAAATAACCAGTGGAATGCATCTCTAAGACAGATTATTATCCTATTTGTAAAAGGAAATCATGGGCATGCATCAACAGAACTTATCCTCTACTCTTTGGATTCCAAAATGTAATCGTTTTCCTCATGGATGATCTTGTGCCAAATGACTGACCTCTGCCCCCCCCAAAAAAGTGCATGCGTGTGTGTGTGTGTGTGTGTGTGTGTGTGTAAGAGAGAGAGAGAGAGAGGAACTGAGATTACACTGTAGTCATTTACCTTAAGAAAGAAATTTAGTAGCTTTATGTTTCACTATTGAGCAGCCAAAACAGCTTTGAACATATTTCATCTACTAAAAGAACGTGTGCTGGTGTGACATAAATATTAATGAAAGAATAAAACCCAATTCTCAAGATATTTTTTCTTTTATTTAAAATGTTAACTATCACAACACATTATACAATGAAATGAAGACCGTAGAATCACGTGAAAACTTGTAAAACATCTCTATTTAAGTCACAACACATGACACATGCTGCAGGGACACACTTTGATACCAAATCTTAGCACATTTCCACCATGAAAACAGAGGAAGCACAAGCCTGTCTGTGAGATCCCTCTCCTTCATCAGTGGCTGACATGACTGCTTCCAGGAAACCAAGATGATTTCTTTCTTTGAAGAACATATTTCAGTTTCACTGAACACTGTGCTTTGTTGAGAAATGCCCACTGATTTCTACATCTGAGGGGGTCACATTAGAATTATAACACACTTTCACAGCACGTATTGGCACAATATGAAAAATAAACAGTTTTTTTTTTTTAGCTTTCCACTCAAAACAATGATTATTAAATAAATAATTATTCCTCATGGTGCAGGTCTCATGTTACCTTTCATTGGCCACTGACACACATGAAGCTCAATAAATTACACATGAGGGGGTTTATTTGCGTCTTCGTTCATAATTCTGCACCGCGCTCCTTTCATAAGCCACTGAGAACAAAGAAAAGGCAGAGGGTTTTTTTAAGAGGATTCACCGAGAGCGTTAAATAAACTTCAAGACACACTATAATTTATTAAAAACTCATTAATGACTTTCCCCTCTCCATTGAAGTATTTCTAAGAGCTTTCTTTGCACATCCTCCAATCTTGCCTCCGTCTCTGTCCCGACTGGAAGTGATCTAACCACAGAATCCTTGGTTACTCAGGCCATCTGCCATTTACTTGGTGCCCCCAAAGCGTAGTTCCACAATCTACTGCAGTGGTCATTCTCCACAACTTTCTCAAGCACGGTGATTTATATAAAGGATAATGCCTGAAGTATAGAGTAGGAATAGTAGTAGGATGAAAGCAAAATGTGAGACTTTTATTCTAGGACAGAGTCAACAGACTACAGGCCATGGGCCAAATCCAGCCCACCACCTTTTCTTGAAAAGAATGTTTTATTGGAACGTGGCCATACCCACTCATTTATGTATTGTCTATGGCTACTTTAGCATTAACATGACGGATCGGAGTGGTTGCTCCCGAGACGGCACAGCTCACAAAATCCAAAATATTTGTTATCTGGCTCTTTACAGAAAGGGTTGGCTGGTTCCTGTTACAGGAGTACACTGAATGGTGTAGAGGTCTCCTCCTGTTTTGGGGATACCTCCCAATGAGGGATTGTCCTTGAAACTAAAAACATCGTTGTCAGTGGGTAGGGCAATTGTGCCATCCACGTATAACAGTATAACTTACCTCCCAGCACCCTAATGGCCTGTGGAAGATTAATCACTGCCTCCAAAAGTATTTAACATAGACTTAGCAAGTAATTTAAGTACTTTGACTATCCGGACTAAAAAAAAAAAAAAAAAAGGGGGCGCCTGGGTGGCTCAGTTGGTTAAGCGACTGCCTTCGGCTCAGGTCATGATCCCAGGGTCCTGGGATCGAGTCCCACATCGGGCTCCCGGCTCAGCGGGAAGCCTGCTTCTCCCTCTCCCACTCCCCCTGCTTGTGTTCCTGCTCTCGCTGTCTCTGTCTCTGTCAAATAAATAAATAAAATCTTTAAAAAAAATAAAAAATAAAAAAAAGCCGAAATTATGATGATATGATATGATATGATGATATGATATGCAATTTCGAAGAGGTCTGTAACCACAAAAGGGCAAGGATCAGACTGTTGCGATCAGACTACTAAAGTATATTATTCATCATTTTAGTTAATTTATATACTTAGATTTACATTTTAGTGAAACTATGCTGCTTTTTAAAATTCATATGTCCTGTATAAAATACTGAATTTAAACAAAAACAATAGGAAGAACTGTGGAAGTTAGGTAGGAATTATAGATGCCACTTTAAACAATTTTTTCAGTGAGAAAGATCTGTTAAGAGAGGAGGTAGGTGAGGGCTGTAGGGTGATCACTCTCCCATTTCCCTACTGAGCAGACGCCCAGTTAGCATCCAACACTAGGTTCATGATAAGCTGAATGCTTTATGCCAATCACGTATGTGCTTCCAGGGCGGACCAGTCTGAACTCCAAGCCGGGCAGTTCTCAAGGAAGGAAACAGTCCATTTCTCATCCTGCTTTGTTTGTATTAGGAGGAGGACTGACTAGCACGAGTTCCGTTCCTGACAAGCTTTAGGTAACATGATTCTGTTCCTCAGAGAAGTAAGGTGAATGCTAATGTAAAGTAAGCAAAGACGGATTCGTGTTAGCTGGAACAGAATATCCTCTTCACGGGAAGCAAAGTTTTGTATCTGGTTCTTGAACCCTCTGAAACTGTATGTAGATTTTTATGTTTATAAGCTAATGAGGATTTCTCCACAAAGCAGGTTTCTACATTTCTCAGACTGTCATAGGAGTCTGTGACCACAAAAGGTTAAGAATCAGATGGCTGTAGGACACAGCCTACAGATAAATTCAGCTACAAATAAATTCTTGGATTTATTTATTGCAATTAGATTTTTTTTTTACCATAAGTACTCATTTTAAATTTATCATTCCTTTTTAGTACTTTGAAAACTATGCCTTAGAAAGAAAATAACAGATTTGAGATACTGTCTATTTTCAGTCATGGTTTTATACATACCAGAATTTAACACATACCAGGACACAATCATAACCTTGCCTCAATTGATCATATGAAAAGATCCCTGATTGAATGTACATACATTTTTGCCTGTTTCTTCCTTTTATATTTTCTTAAAATGGAGGAGTGAAGATTTAGTCATAAATTGATCCTGACTCATTATAGTGATTCTATTGATCTTGACTCATTATAGTGATTCAATTTACCTATAATTACATTATTACTTTGCACACATTTAATAACATTTAATCTGTAGAAATCACAGTATCCATATTATTTGTAAAGTTAGCTATGTTCTGAAATCTGTGTCAGTTCTGGCAATAAAAAGTTGATGACTAATATAGTTATCAAGAAGACCACAGTTACAGAAGGGATAGCGCACACTTTTGCTACAAGTAAAGCCAGTGTGGTTGAAATTTACATTCCATTTCCAAAAGCTGGAGGATAATATATATTAATAAAATAATTTAAAGTTTTTCATGAGGCACACTGGTAACTTCTTTAAAATTTAAACTTGAAAAAAAAAAATTTATACTTGAGCGGCCCCCGAATTACTGAAAAAGAAATACAAGCATAGTGTCTAAATTTGGAAGGTAGAGAACCAATGGTAGGATACATCATTTTTTGCATGAATTTTCCAGATAATTAAGCCAGGGACTGCTTAGTTACAGATTTTCTAGAAACCTGAAATATCCTAAACAGATAAGGCAGCTGGTTACTTTCTAATTAATTACTTCATTAATACTATAATTCTATTTTCACTAAAGGTAAAATAAAAGGAGTTTGAATAGCTTTCCTAAGGAACCTAAGCTAATTACTATAAAAGACTGAATGTGCTTTACAAAAAAATCAGTCTCTGTGAAAATGATATAGGGGTTATTTAACCTTGAAAACGGTACGATGAATGGGTTTTTGGATATAGGTATGTGGCATTTTTACACAGACGATGGGAACTACAGAGAGGAAAGGAAATAGGCAGGCTTTATGTCAAGAGAAAGACTTGTTGGGGATTAAGATGGGTTAGGAGGATTGTGGCACCCCTTCCCTGTGAGGGTTTACAGCCAGAACTGATTATAATTCCCCAGGATGACTTGATCGTGCTCCTTTTCAAAAGCACTGGAATGGACTGTGTTTTTCCCATACTCTCAAATATCCATCAGGATATTTCGAGTTTGAGCTTTTATAACTTCATAAAGTATAAATGGATTTGTTTGTTTTCTTTATTTGTTTACTTTTGTGCTGGAAGACTGCCAGATGTAATGTCATATAAGCCTTTTGAATGACCTCGGTAGTAAGTGAAAATTGGTCTTATTTCCCACATAACCTTTCACCGCTTAGTTCAGTCAAGTTCAGTGTGGCTTATGTAACAAATATAAGGGAACAAGTACTAGACTAGCCCAAGGATTCAGGTTAGGTAATGATTAAATGGGGCAGACACTGGTAAGGCTGGTAGTCTGAGAAAGAAAGATGCATCCTAGGTGAGATTAGCTTAATCAGCTACAAATAAATTCTTGGATTTATTTATTGCAATTAGATTTTTTTTTCACCATAAGTACTCATTTTAAATTTATCATTCCTTTTCAGTACTTTGAAAACTATGCCTTAGAAAGAAAATAATAGATTTAAGTTACTGTCTATTTTCAGTCATAGTTTTATACATACCAGAATTTAAAGCTCTTTTGCCCATTAGTCCAACAAAGGAATCTGTTTTATGCCCTGGAAAAATACATTTAGGGGTATTTTAATATGTATGTCTTTGAGGAAATAAACTGTTATAACTAGTACCGAAGAAAAGCAAGCTTTAGAATATATGCCTATATAATAAATATATAACCATTTCAAGTTTTGGTGAGCCTGAAGAAATGAAGATTTCTAATAAGTCTTACAAATGACATTAAAACAATACAATCAATGAAAGCACTTTTCTTAATTCTATATCTAATTATTAGCAAGTATACTTTATGTATATTACAGTTTACCTGTTTATATACAATGTTTTAAATATTGCTGCTATTTAAGCTAGTTTTGGTTTTTAGGGAGTCAATTTCACAGTCGTGACAGAAATATCCAACTGTATGTCCTTGTGTTACTATGTTGTATTTCTCAGGAACTGAACCTTAGTTAAGTCAGATCCCTGCACCTGATGATTATAAACTTCTAAAAGGTCACTATTTTTATTTTATTGGATTTTTAAAAATACTTTTGGAAAAGTGTGTTAATTTTGACATTAATAGAGTGCATTTACTTTCATTACACAGAATTTTGCTATATATAATTCTCTTGAAAGTCAAATCTTTAGAACTTAAATATGAATAAGATTTATTTATTTTCAAAGATGAAGCCTTATGAAAAAGGTTACTATTTCAACTCTAGTGGGGAAAGGTCTCTTGCTTTATACTGTATTATTTGAGAATAAGACTGCTATTTTAATGTGACCTTCTCTGCCAACCAGTGAACCAAAATCCAAGTGGAGGTGTGGGTGGATCCTGGGGTAAATGCATCTGATTGAGATGGACCCATGGGACTTCCCGTCAATTCGAGTTCCATTAACTGGGAAACCGGGATCAAATGAATGTCAAGTGTCATAACTCGGCCATCTCTACTGCCCTAAGAAATGTTTCATTGTACTTTGATAGATTGAGGGTCCCTATTCAATTATGGGACCAAAAAACTGCATTTCTGTCTTTATCTTTACTATGGATTCTCTGCTCTTTCACTCAATCTCCTTAATTGGCTGCTGGATTACCCTAATACATGGTATCGTCAAGAGATCCAGCATACTGAAATGTTAAGAGATACCTATAAAAGCTTTGTTTTTGTTTTGTTTTGTTTTGTTTTTGTTTTTGCAGTGGAAGCATTGGGGGGTAGGAGAGGGTGAGGGGTGAATAGGGAGAGGAATCTGTGGTGGATTTTTACCCCAGGACTGAAATTCTTATCCATAACTAACAATGTATAGGAGTTAAAGGATTTCTTCTGGCGCTCTCTCTTTTCTTTCTCTTTTTTTTTTTTAGCAGCTTAAAACGACAACAAATATTTATTATCTCACAGTTTCTGTGGGTCAGGAATTCACCAACAATTTAGCTAGGAGTTAAAGGATTTTTAACATAATGCATCATTTTGGTAAGCATCTAGGTCTAAAAAACAGAGCTGTAAAAAATCATGCTCTGGATGTAATTAATATGAGTCTCCTCCATTCTTATACTGTCTTAATTAAAAGTATTAGGCCCTAAGTTATAACAGAAAATAAGATATAAAATGAAGATCAATCTAATTTATGTTTGCATTTGGTAAATGTCAAAATAATTTGAAACTTACTTTTATGAGAGATCTGGCCATGTCCTAGAAGAAAGAAAGAGAAAGTTAGCAAAGGCAATAGATTTATTTTAAAGATGCTACCTTATATTTTCAGAAGAGAATTATAAGTTGATTTTTAAAACATATAACATTTCCCATTCATGTACTATCATGAGGAATATAGTAGAACCATAAATGCTAACCAAATTATTAATGATAAAAACAAAATAGCAACCAAAAGGAATATTTTTAAGTGCTTTCTATGGGCCACAGATTCAAACCCAGGACTATGAGACCCCTAAGGCCTAACAATAACTGTTAGGCCACACCACCTGTTTTCTTATAAGAAACACATCTCCAAGCTGGACCACCATTTGACACTCAGGAGAGAGGGATACAAATCTCTACTTTTACTAAACAGGCATTATCAAGAATCTGTATTTGAGCCCATAAAAAATTTTTCTTCACTTTTCCTACATATGCGTTCACAATAGTAAAATAAAGATTTATAGAAATGTTTACCATAAAGAGCCTTTAACAGGGCCACTTGTTTTTCAATTGAGGAATCTGACAAAAGATGAATTGGCATTAACTGTTTACACGTTCCGCTGATGGTGTGATAAATGCAAGGAAATTGAGTATTTCTATCATGAGACATTAGGGAGCTAAATCTAATCTAACGCCAAGGGTCTAAAATCGGTTTCCACAGGCACTTAGACCATTCTGAGTACTACCCCCTGGAGGCCCCGCGCCTTCCCCCTTTGTCAGTTTGGATCTTCAGTCAAAGGAGAACTCAGCTAGTAAGGCTGCTTCCTGTTCTTGATTGGGGTCACTCTAATTGTGTGGGGGGCACGCGCCGCAACGGATCTCGCTCTCCCTCCGAAGGCATGTGCGTGTGTTAGTGGGGTGAGGGCCAGAGTCGCTCCCCGGGGATATATTCCATTTTAGGATGGAAATTTCTACTCAAAGAGCAAGAGAGACTGGGTGCTCTGAGAAGCAGTGAGCGAGGAGACCGGGCAGGTTGCTCAGAGAGACAGAGAGAGGGATGGCTGCCCATCTCACCAGCATCCCGTTTGCCCATTAATCCGAAGAACTGCTGAGGCTTGGGTCTCCGGGCGATTCTCTGCAGAAGATGCTCAAAGGGCTCGGGCAGCTCCTCCTGGGGGACAGACGCACAGACAAACGGGCGTGTAGGCAACAAGCGCGCGGCGCCGGGAAACCCGAGTCATTCCAATGGTGAGCGCCAGCCCTGGGCGAAGCTCGGAGGCGGGCGGTGGCGGCGCCAGGGCCGGAAAACCCGAAAACCCGCCCCGCAGGAAGGCGAGAGAAGGCCGGGTTTCCCCACGCGAGGGCTGAGTGGGGTCCCAGCCCGGGAGCTCTCTTCCTCCACCCCTCCCGGCAGAACTCGTGTCCGCGAGCCCCGCTCTCGCGGGCTAGCCGGAGGCGCGGCGTCCCCCAGCCCCGCGCGTTATCCGCTCTTTGCAGAGCCTGGGGACCCCCGCCCCACTCGTCTGCCGCGCCGCCACCTGACTTGCTCTTGATTCTGGCGCGGGCTTTGGAGACACCTGGCCGCCCTAAATGCGCACAGGTGTGTGTCGCGAGTGGGGAAGGAATGACAACGCTTTACTAAAGACCTGCACCGCGCCACTTTTACTGTTCCCTCGAGGCGCGCTCCCTTGCACCAACAGCCTGCGAGCCTTGTAAAGGCAAACTTGCGGCTCGGTCCTCTGGTCGGTAAAATAAAAGTCAGGGCAGGAAGTTAGCTTCCCACCCACCTCGCCCCTCGAAGCCCCCAGCAGCTTGTCCTTTGTGCCCGCTTCTACCAGCGTCCGGCGCGCCCCCTTCTGCCCCTGCCCAGCGTTTCCAAATGCCTGGTCCTTGCAGCTCGACTGGAGTCCCCGAAATCCCCGTTACCCCGGGATGAAACCTTGTGAGGTTTCCAGCCTTGTGAGGACCCCGGGCTCATCAGGGAGGGCATCATTCCTCCAGGGAGTTCCCGAGACCCGACGGTGCAGCCCCCGGGGGGAAACTTGGATCGTGGGCACAAAATCTCGTGCGGGGACCCAGGGAATGGTGTTCCTTTACAACCCCACCCCCTCCCTGCGCCCCTCCACCGCCTCTGGTCGCGGTCGCGGAGCCTGCCAGGCTAACTAGAATGCGATCTTCAGGGAAGTGACAGCTCCCGAGGCCCGGAAGAACGGCTCCGGCTGGGTCTCACCTTGATCTGGTCGCTGTCGGACCAGTCGGACCAATAATTCAGATCATCGTTGGCTCCAATTTCTTCTGCAAACAGTTGAGTGGAGACGAGAAAAAAGACGGCCAATGCCACGAGGATTTTCATGTTGGATTTCTGGGAAGAACGGGGAAGAAGAGACCGAGGAGAGAAACATTGGGGATGGCTATCCAAGAGTTGGGACAGCATAATTTTTGGTCCCACAACGCAAGTCGGGGCCGATTGAACCAAGATAAAAACCCTAGGGGATAACAAGCCTAAAGCATACCTTGTACCTTTTAGGAAAGAAAACCATGCCCCCAAGCTTCTCACATCCCCTTCTCCCTGGATCCCAACTCCCTCAGCCCCCGATCCACCAATCCACACCTTCAAGCCGGGAGACTCTGTCGGTGGAAAACAAAGAGGGACGTTGGCACTTGGGATCCCCGTTCCTCGATGTCCCTCCGCTGTCCTCCCACTGTCCGCCGCCCCAGCTGCCAGCCGTCACCTCGGAGCGATGCGCGGGGCGGGCACTTACCGCGGAGAGCAGGCCGGCAGGGTTCGTCTGGCTGCTCCGAGCGCGCGCGGGGCGCTCGGCACTCTAGGTGGCCGCGGCGGTGGAGGAAGCAGATGCGGCGCGCTCTTTTGCCGGCTCGGTGCCGCGCGGTATTTATCCAAGGCTCGACGCGCCTCGAGGACCACGTGACACGCTCCCCACGCGACTTTCTGCTCAATATTTAATTAACCGCCTCTTCTCCTTTCGCTTGCGTCTGATTGAGAGTTTCCGAGACGGTAACCCGTCGGTGCCCAAAACATCTGGACCCAATTGGGTTCGAAATGACGCAATTTTAGGAAAATCAAGATCTCTCCATCCAATCCCGAGCGTCCAGTCTTCTTCCGTCTGCGGATCTGACGCCCCCTCCCCTCTCCTTCTTCGGAACGCGGTTCCATGACACCTGAAATTACTCATCAAAATTGAGCAAAGTGACTCATTCCTCGGACTTCCGCAACTTTTCGTCAGGATAAGCTGCACTTTTAAGGATGGCCAAATATCTTAAGGTATTAAGATACTGTCGTCGGAAATCATGCTAAGAAGAGCATTTCAATTGGGGGGGGAGAGGCTTTTTATTCCCCTTCTATTTCATCGGCAAAGTGTCTTAAGTGTTTCTTCTATGAGCAGAGCATCCTTCTCCCAAATCAGCTTCAATACTGGCGTTTCTCCAGCGTTACAAAAGGATTTTCAGTCCCATAGCATTTCAGACGATGGAAGCAGATTTATTTTACATTTTGGAGGAAGGAGAATTTAAACGTGGCAATACACGTAGCACTTTTTTTTTTTTTTTTTTTTTACACGTAGCACTTTTATATCAGTGCCATTCTAGGGTATCTTTTGTTGCAAGCTAGCAAAATCCTCTTCCTTCGCACATCCAGGAGCAGGGGTTGGAAGAGGACGTGTTCGCTTCTCTCCTACCCTTTCTCGCTGAAGACTAAGAAAACGGCAAGGCAGTGTACAGGATCCTTCCTGGGTGTCATAAAGGACTCTACAGATCATTCATAGATTTCTCCTGTAAATGAAAATAAGTGTAGTGAAGATGCTAATTGGACGGTCATTGACAATAGGAAACTATTAGACAAATAGCATCTGTACAGAAATCAGAGCTTTCCATGAGCCCATGGTTTCACCTTGCAGACACATTTCTTTCATCTCTAAATGAATTAGATGACATATCTTGAGTGCAGTTGTTTTCTTCTCTTTACTAAGTAAGTACTATATTTTTCAATTAATTCTGATGTTTTTAGTATACTGCATAAAGGAAATAACTTTTTTTTTTTGCAATTCAGTTAAACCAGTAATTTTTTCCTCTAATATCTGCTGTTTCTTAATCCTGAATTTTGAAATTCCTGTCTCTATCTCATTTCTTTAGGCCTAGCCTTACAAGGTGAGGCATTCCATTTTTGCTTTTATAACTTTTTTTTTTAAGATTTTATTTATTTATTTGACAGAGAGAGACATAGTGAGAGAGTGAGCACAAGCAGGGGGAGTGGGAGAGGGAGAAGCAGGCTTCCCGCTGAGCAGGGAGCCCAATGCGGGGCTCAATCCCAGGACCCTGGGATCATGACCTGAGCCTAAGGCAGACGCTTAACGACTGAGCCACCCAGGCACCCCAGTTTTTATAACTTTTTATGTGGGAAATTATATACAAAAGTAGAGAGAATCATTCACTCGAAACAATTTGCAAGTTTTACCTACAAACCCTTCCTATTTCCCCTCCACTCAGATTATTTTGAAGCAAAGCCCAGATATCATTTTAACTGTAAATATTTCAATCGTCTATATAAATGGTAAGGATTAAAAAAAAATAAAAACAGAACCATGCCATTATTCCACCTAAAAACAACATAAAATAAATCCTTACAACATTAACTATCTGGTTAATGTTCAAATATTCCTCATTGTTTCATAAACCCCTCCACCACAGAGTTTAATAGTTGAAATCAGAATTGTAATAAAGTCCATACACTTCACTGGTTCATATATTTCTTTTTTTTTTTTTAAGATTTTATTTTTTTGAGGTGGGGGGAAGAGAGAATGAGAGAGTGGGCAAGCTGAAGAGGGAGAGAGAATCTGAAGCAGATTCCACGCTGAGTGCAGAGCCCCACCTGGGGCTTGATCTCAGAACCTGAGATCATGACCTGAGCCGAAACCAAGAGTCGGATGCTTAACAACGGAGCCACCCAGGTTCATATATTTCTTAAATGTCCCCTAATCTATAGTTCTCCCCTCTCTTTCTTCCCTGTCCCCTTGCAGTTTATGGATAAAACTGGTCAGTAGAGTGTACTACATTCTGGAGTTTGATGATTGCCTCCTGATGGTTTCTTTTACCTTTTTCCTCTGTCCTGTTTCCTGTTAATTGGTAGTTGAAGATTGATCCCATGTAGGTTTGGTTTTTCTGACAAGACCATATGCTGTTATGAAGTGCATGATATCTGGTTGTCTATCCCTTTGAGATGTTAGCAGATACTGATGATCATTTTCTAGATCCAGTAATTCATTCATAAGTACTTTCAAAATAGTGTTATTCTGATTTTATCATTTATTCTTTATTTATTAGCTAGACTTATCTTCCATATAAAGAGAAACTTTTTTCTCAATAGCTGTTTAGTTACTCCAAGACATAGTCAATATAGGAAAGATAGGATAAACGCTGATTACTTCCCCTTACCAATTTTTAAAATAATGATTTATAAGTTAGCACATTCAAATGTGGCCTCCTCTCCCCAGTTTAGGATTATTATGACCTCACGGATTGAAATACATTTGAAGTATTTTACTCCTTCAGAGAAGGATAGAAGGATGCCTTTTAACTGATGCTCAATTTGTTCAGGTGACTTTTCAAATTGGTTCCTGAGACTTTTAATATGCCTTAAATGGACTTTAATGACCTTGTTTTTTGGTCTGACAAGATATTTTAGGTTTAAGTTGTATATTTCCTGTCTCAGACCTGCGATTTGCATTTAAGGAGATCTTGTTTCTTTTGAATTAGAAATGATAATTAGAGATTATAATCTGGGCATTATGGGTGCGTATTGCCACTGAGTTCTTCTTTGTTTCAAGACCTTTTCAATGAGTACAATTGAAAATGTGTATGAGTGTGTAGGTTTGTATAAAACTGTGAATGAATGAATGTATACTGACACTTTCTATTCGTACCAGGACATAGTATGGTCTTCACCTTGCACCTTTCCTTCTATTTTGCACTGTTTCTTCCATGCCAAAAAATCCCAGTTCCTGGTGACCTCAACATGATTACTCATTTGCTTTATCTCAATATACAATGCCAACATAATTAACAATACGGTTATTAGAAACAGATTAAGAGATTTTATTTGCAATTTTTTTTTTTGTCTTTAGGACATACCATGTTAGGTCTGATGAGTCAACTTATTGTGTTTTAAAGTCACTTAAAATTTTTTTCTCTGTATGGTTATGCTACCAACTTTTATACACATGGTTCATTTGTTCATTTTGCTCTTGAGTTTTAGGGATTGATTTTTACTTTAACATTATGTAAAATATAGAGTTCCAAATGTAAAACATTCAAAACATAATGTATTCCAAGGAATGTAGCTTCACTCCCTGTCCCTCTACTTTCTTCCCTCTAGTCACTATTGTTTTTTAGGTTCTTGGTTTGTTCTCCTATTATAATTGTTATTATTGTGTTATTTTAATATAAGCCAGTATGTATTTATATCCCTCTCCAGCTTGTAAAACTCTGTACCTAAAGTGGGGCATTTTAAGGTTAATTTTTGTTCATTTCTTGATTGCTGATGTGGTGTATGAAGTAACAATAAAGACAGCTATTTCACAATTTCTTCCTTGTTGGCTCTTTCATAGGATTGAGTAGCAAACAATAATGAGATAAAAAATTGGTCAAAGAATTCATTTCCCACTTTTTCCATGTCATTCATTAATTTCTAACTTAGTGTTCCTAGTAAGATCATGCACTTACTGACACACTTTCTCCTTGAACATTGCAGGGTTTCGGATATTTATCTTCTTTATTTGTTTTATTTGGGATATTTATGCTCTGTATTTGTTTTATTTCCCAGAACATCAGATTTGTGAAAATATACATATTAATAAAATACATATGTATGAGAAGTAGAATGGTGAAAAAGTAAGTAGTTAATAAATCCTTATTTGTGTTTGTAAATTAAAAACTTGCAGAAAAGCACAAAGAAAAATTTACAATCATCCACTTTATCATAACCCAGAATGAACCATTGTTAACATCTTGATATACTGCTCACAATTTTTAAAGGGAAAAAAGTCACCTGGTTGTTTTTGTAAAATAAGACATATTATTTATAAGAAATAAAGCAATGCAGAAAAGTTCAATAATATATATTTTTTAAAATTACTCTAAACTCAAAATTGCCACCATAAGCATTAAAAGAACATCGTTGTGAATATCTTTCTATGCATATTGTATTGTTAGAAGAATAGAGCAACAGGCAGAAAAATAAAAGTTATGAAAATAGGCTGAGACCCTCGGAAGTATTTTTAATGAAAGTTAGTTATTTGTATTTTATTTGACTTTAGTAGAAGTAAAAAGAAAAATGAAAAATATTTCTTCAACACAAGATATTTCTTCTATAAAAGAACCTATTAATGTTAAAAAACAAATTTTAGGAATAAACATTAGAGGCTAGCATATAACATTTAAAACAACAGATATTTAGACAATATCTATTTATTCTCTGTTTTGAAAGACGAGGGTATTAAACTTCCTCCCACTTCCCCCTTCCCCCCACCTCCCAATTTTTGTAGTTATACAATTATTTGAACATTCAATTATTTGAAGGTTTATAACATTCACATTTAGTTTTACTACCCTACTTTCATTAGTTGTCTATTGTTCATTCTATATTTAAACAAATTCATTGTTCACCACCAGCCTTTTAACCTACCTTTGCCGTTTTCGAGTTTATTTTTAATCATCTCTTATTTGGCTGGATATCATT